ATATAAGATAAGCTAACTATTGCCAAATATTCAAGTTAATATGGTGCCATGCGCGACCTTCACATGAAAAAGTGCCTTTTTGTCATTCCAAAACGGCACTGACGAAAGTGGCGTAGCATAACAAAAATTAATTTGTAAAATTCTATGCAAATACTGTGGCAAAGGGTATGATGGAGAAACTGGTCGATATAGATAACTCTCTCACACATAATGTAAACGAATACCTATCGATCTTTCTTCGCTACCGAAAACAATATGGTTAGTATAGAAAAATAATTTTCAGATCCGAGAAATAGAGAAAATGAGCCGGATCAGTAAATGTTGAATGGTACAATGGTCCATGCTTTATGGTCTTCACGAGTAAAAATCAGGTGATTATCCTTTAACTCTTTCGGAATAATCGGATTCGTTACCTAAATGAAAGACTTTAGATTTATCTGTTTTTCGCAGAACCGTCTTAGCCTGTATAAATCCTAGTCTTTTACCCAATTTAAGGCTTTTTTGCGCCAATGCCTCCACTTTTGATACAACAACACTCGGTCATCTTTTGATCGATGTGGTTAATAAGATTGGTCAACAAGTTCTTCCCTCTAGCAAACCCTTTCCCCGTGAGTCTGTTGTTAATTTTCCGACGGACCGCCTGAAATTCCACCTCATGTTGCCTGTCTGCTTAAGTTATCTGCACTAGAACAAGCATTTTATACAAACAAGCATTTAAACCAAAAGAGTGTCAAATCGTTTTCTAAATAGAGAACCTTTGACCTTAAACATTTTTCCTTGAAAGTGTTTTTTGAATAAAAAATCTTCAAATCCCAGTTGATAGTTAGATGTGAGAGATAGAGTATATTGAAAAAGTTATACAGGTGCGCGTGTATTATTAACAATAAAAACTTTTTATGATTGAATAAATAATACATGCATACTATGTAATTTTGTCAATGGAGTAAATTCGACGGAGTACGTATGCGTGTATTATTTATTCAACCGCGAAAACCTTTTGTTTGTTAGCAGTACACGCGTACCTGTATACGTTTTTCAATGGACTTTATTCCTGTTCTACATTCACCACATCCTCACCGTATGATGACATGTGACAGTATTTCTCATATAAAAAGAGAATAATCGACATGTAAGAGTAAACTCAACGTAGTGAACTCTATGTTTATTACGTTACCGTCTACATTTATCTGGATGCCATAGCCATTACGCTTGCCATCTTTCCATTCTCCATCGTATTTATCACCATTTGCCCATGTATGAACTCCACGACCATTAAGTGTATCATTTTTCCATTCCCCGACATATTTGTTCCCATTCGCCCATGTGCATGCACCATGGCCATTCCGTAAATGATTTTTCCATTCGCCACTATACTTCTTTCCTATAAAAAGAGAATAATCGAGAAGATTAAACTAAATGATATTTCTTCTCAGTATATTTATTATGTTACCGTCTGTATTTATCTGAACCCCATAGCCGTCACGCTGGTTATTTTTCCATTCACCTTTATATTTGTTCCCATTCTCAAACACAAGTTGACCATAGCCATGTCTCACACTGTTTTTCGTTTCGCCGATATATTTTGCGCTACCAAACGTTTCTTGAACAGTCTTACTATCTAAAACAATTTCTGCCGTAAGATTGAGAGTGATGATATGAGAGAGCATACAAATTGTCTTATCACTCTTTTATGATAAGAAAGAAGATATCGAGAGAAATGCTAAAGGAACAGCTGCATATTAATGAGCTTTGAAGAATGTTATCCTCAATCCTACACATGTACTGAGTAATTGACTAGGAATTTTATACGTTTTGAAAAATCGGGTGTCTCGTATATTGCTTGGTTAAAAATTTTCTGACTCAGCAAGAATGTAGAGCAAACATTTCTCTATAAAATGAAAGATCATGCAACTCTGCATGATTTCTTTTGAGATTTTGGCAGCGATGCCCTTATAAGTGGCTAACCGAGTACTCGATTATATGTTTTTGAGATATCGCTGTCACCTCAAAAGAAATCATGCAGAGTTGTCTGATCTTTCATTTTATAGAGAAATGTTTGCTCTACATTCTTGCTGAGTCAGAAAATTTTTAACCAAGCAAGATGTGAAACACCAGATTTTTCCAAAAGTATAAAATTCCTAGTCAATTACTCGGTGCATGCCTACTTTGTCACTGTATCCAGTATATGACGGATGCGATGGTGAATTCTGGCACAAAAACATGGTAAAATAGTGAATACTGCATATTAATTATTTGACTAAGGAGATCATGACTTTCCGACACTTGAAGAGTAAAATTGAGATTTTGCAATTTCGGTAACATTGAACACAATTTACCTCGATGATTCTCATATCTTGCAATGAAAGGCTTAGAGCTGGAGAGAGCGTACCATTGTTTTCCTTGCCTGAATTACCGTACAAGGCCTGAATTTCTGTCTGATCAACGGCTGCTAGTACTTCTGATCGTTTTTTCAATCGATACGTTGGATACATGATTGATTCTCCGTTTCTTGTATGTTCCAGGCCGAGTGCATGTCCGATCTCATGAACGGCAAGAAGAAACAAATTGATTTCGTTATTCGATGGCGAATCGAATCTAAACTAACGAAGAAAAGAGGAATTAAGCAGTCTATTATGCAGATTTACTCACGACTCTGTCCACGTGTCGTCGAGATCAAAATGAATGCGGCCGTCGTTAGGAGGAAAGGCGTGGGCTAATGTTTTTTCATCAAACGGATGACCATCACCATGATCACCTTCGACGAACTGCATCACGATGTCGGCTGAGCATGTATCACACACCATTTTAAACTTTAATGGTGTATGTTTCGACCACTCATTGAACGCTTCCTGAATGATTTCGATTTGTTTAGCCTGAGTAATCTCGGTGTGATGGGCATATGAATCAAGCCGATACGTGAGACTGAGTCGAGGCCATTTGGTAGTGGCTAATCGATGTATTAAAGACGGATTGGGCTTGTCCACCATGGAACATCGAGGCGTATTAATAATCGATCGAGTTGGCGCATCAAGAACACCGGTAATGTTCAAACCAAAATATCGTTGTAAATCTCTCAGCATCTCATTGAAACTTTCGCTACATTTCACTGTTGATGCTGGCGTGTCATTACATGAACTATAGCCAAAACGTTTCAGATAGCTTAAAGCAATATTCTCTTGATCATTTGCCCAACTATGTGGGAAAATGAGAGCTGTAATTATCAACGTTACAGACCGAATGAGCGTTTTCATCGTTTTGTACTTGTGCTAAAAGGAATTTACCTAATCTTCTTTATAAAATCGTACTCTATCTTCAAAAGACGACTCTTATTCAAATTCAAAACTCTCGCCTCTTATAGGTTCCCTATTTTCTAAGTTCCTCTGGATTAAAAATCATGGATTATACAATATAATATCGATGGCTGTCAACACTAAATAAAACAAAAGTATCCATCACAAAAAAAACAACTGTAGCGTCTGTAGACGTGAAACTCACAGTACAGACGGCCATCTTAAATTTAACTATTCTGACTTGCACGACTTAAAACGTTTTTGGACACGAAGCAGGTGAATAATGAGGACTTACTCGACAGTAATGCTGAACTGATGAAGCAATGCTCAGGACATTTTCTGGACTAAGTATTATAGTTCACAAAAGTTCAGAGTTACTCTACAAAATGTTACCTGCATGCAATGCATACACAAGCCGCAGTCTGCTATACAGCACTGGTCAGAAGTCTATAAGCTGTGTATCAAATACTGTTCGCAAGCCTTTACTTTTCAGTTTTTGAGTGTGCACCTTGGAGGTGGGAGGATGTGCGCGTGACTGGAAACAGAGTCTTGTTAGCTTAACTTTTTCGAACTCGATTCTGTCCCGTGTGGCTTAAAGCCCGTTCCGAGTCCGAAAACATTTCAGGTGCAAGATCCAGGGATGCGGGATCCGATTGAAGCTGCAAGACTCTGACTGAGCTATATAACTATAAACCTTTTTTTCATGTGTTGCATGTAATTGTTTATCTCAGCCATATGAATCAGGCGCGAACTACAGTAGGTTACAGTGTTATATGCGTCGGACTACTGTAGTTTCAGATCATGTCTCAGATTTCATGTTTTCTTAAAAAACGATTCAGAATTCAATTCAGTTGAGAAAAAAGATTTTGATTCACTATTTGCAGCATATACCTCCGAATTAGTTATTTCCATAGTTTACTGATGGTGTTATAGCTAAAATGCTAATGAGAGTTTCTGATTGGTATACAAACTCGTCTGTTTAATTTCGAAGACAAGGATAACTTACAGAAAACTTTCAATTTGCATCTGATAGATAGTGAATTTATCTTTCAGTTTGTGCGCATTTTGAAGATTGTACCTACGGACTCTATAGTTTGCAAATCGAAGAAAAATATCTGTAACCCGCCTAAAAAACGCTCAATGGTCACAAATCTTACCGAATAAGTGTAATTCTTTCCCGTCTACAAGTCCGCTAAACTGTACAATCTAGGCACATATAGCAGTTACAGTACACAGTTTGGTTTTCCTTTCTCTTCGTTTCAAATAGTTCTCTTATTCGTATCTACCTCGCTGCTGACCTCTCGAATAAGAACTTCGAACAACTCAAATTGATAGATGCTGATAGAAACCTTATTCCAATTTGTCTTGGGATCATGGCATGACACACTACTCATTTCGTTTCCTTCTGCTTCTATCGCCATAGTCTTTTGTACGAGTTAATATACATAAATTATTTTTATTATTGTTTTTATTATTTTGTACACTTTGTATTCTGAACGCTGACAATGAAAGCGAAACGTGCTTTTTGTGGTTCCAGTCAATGCGAGATCTACATTTTTCCCAACAAGGAAGGATCTGCGATGCATACAACTAAAGCAACTCAAATTCAATCCGCGAGCAACTAATATGAAGTTGCTTAATTATCAAAATCGATTAATAGCAGACCACATACATTTTCTTGGTGTAACTTCTTAACTCACTGACGGTCAGCAACGTCCTTATCTTATCCGCATATAGTCTCTATTCGCAAATACTATACTAATGAGCATTTCAAATTAAAAGAATAGCTAAGTTATTTCTGTACTAACCTTGCCTAGTTCAGAATTTATATATGTAAGAAAAATAAAATCCAATCTATCTTATTTTATAC